TCTCACCTATCTCTGCTTTTCCCAAGCGCCTGCCGCTCGCCCTGCCTCCACCCTGCCGGCACTGCCGCCGACTCTTCCGACCTGCTCCTGCACCCTCCCCACGCCAGCGCACCTCTCGCACATCCTCGGCGGCGAGCGAGGGGGGGAAGTGAGAAGGAGAAGCAGAGGCCCTCCGGCCTTCCGAGAGGTCTTCTGCGTCTTCGGGGAAGGCTTAGAACACCTCTCGGGAGGCCGAGGGAATCCCGAGCCTTCTGAGAAGGCCATCCTCCTCGCTTCCTCCCCACGCCGGCGCACCTCCCGTATATGCCGCCGTGCCGCCGCCAGCCTGCGCTTGCTGACTCACCTCCCCCACCTTGCTAGCCTCTGGCAGCGGAGGGAACGGGCGGCTGGGCCCCCACTCCGAGAGGAGCACGAGGAGGAGGACGCCCCGAGGCGGGCCCCTGACCCCCCTTCTCGCGAGGGAGACGAAGGCGAACTCGAGAGAAAATCGGACCACTATAGGTTGGAAGCCTCTGAGAATCGGCGGGTTTCCTCCTTCCGTCGTCAGGTTGTTCCCTCAATGTTGTCATTACTCATACTCGTGATATTGGCGCGCTTCTGCACGTCATTGCCGTTGCTGCGATCATTGGCATTACTAACCTGATCCTCATTGGTGTGAGTTCTACGGCTCGAACTATCATCACCTGATTGGCGCTTGCTCCCGCACCCCTGGCGTTGGCCAGGGGTGAGGCCAACCGATGGCGCCAATCCACGGAGAGAACCACCGCCATCGCAGATAGCAGGAGGAGGGAGAGGTCCGCATGCGGAGCTAACGAGAGAACGATGCGGAGGAAGTGCAAGACCACAAGCAGGAAGAAATGTGGAGGAGGAGGAGGAGGAGCGTAAGGAAAAACTAGAGACAACATGTCAGCTCGCGCCCCAGTTGGCACAAAAGCAAGGCCGAAAGCGTGAGCAAGGACAGGATCCGCCACCGTGTCTGCACGGAGTGGGCGTGTCAGAACGCTCGTTTGTTGTTCGGGAGGTTTTGTGAAGCTTTTTGGAGGGCCCACCCCTCGACGCACGCGCCGCTCAAAAATCGCCCCTTCTGAAATTACGTTCTTGCGGCCGTTTCGGTCTCCAGACGTCCAAGATGGCCTCCCAGACGGCTTCCAAGACAGCCAAGACGGCAACAAAACGGCTCAAGATGGCCCAAGGCAGCTCAAGAGCCTCTCAAAAAAACCTTAAGACAGTTCAAGATCGCCCAATGGAGCCCTCAGACGGCCCAAGAGGCCCCCAAGACTGCCCAAGAGAGCTCCAAGAGGCCTTCCTGGAGAGCTCGAGGAGGCCAAAACCGTTGATGTTCATATTAGGTGCCTGCAGGATGTTGAGGCTCTCACTTGTTCGGGCTCCCCACCGCCCAGGATACCCCAAGAGGCCTCCAAGAAGCCTCCGAGAAAGCTTCAAGACAGCCCAAGAGGCTCCCAGGAGGACCCGGAATCGGCCCAAGAGGCCCAAAGATCGGCCGAGGGGCTCCAGAGAGGGCCCCAAGACGGCGGTGAACCGCTCCAAGGGGGCACCAACGCGACTTAGAGAGGCCCCCAAGGCGGCATCAATAGGCGTCAGACGGGCCAAAAATCCCCTAAGGCGGCCCAACAAGCCCTAAGAAGCCCCCAAGAGGCCCCGTGAGGCCTTTAAGGGGCCCCCAAGAAGCTTTCACGAAGCTCCCGGGAGGCCCCTGGGAAGCCCCAAGAAGGCCCCAACAAGCGTTCCTCTCCTCAACCTCCCCAAGAAGCTGTCCCCTCCTCATCATAAGTTTCTCCTTCCTGCTCCTCCTCCTCCTCCTCCTCCTCCTCCTCCTCCTCCTCCTCCTCATCATCATCATCATCATCATCATCATCATCATCATCATCATCACCACCACCACCACCACCACCACCACCACCACCATCATCATCATCATCATCATCATCATCATCATCATCATCATCATCATCATCATCATTCCCCTCCTCCTCCTCCTCCACCAACTCATCCTCCTCCTCCTCCTCCTCACTTACCGCGCAAACGAAGACGAGATCGGGATCATGACCCGCCCCAATGGAATTGCGCTGTTCCTGGACTCTGCCTCCTTCATGCTGAGCTGCTGCACAGGCACGGCGGCGGGGTTTGCCACAGGAAGCCGGATGCCACACAGAGCGCGCCCAGCCAGATCACAGGATGAAGGGCGTGGTAACCGCTGAGGGTAACCGCTGAGGGTGTCCTAGTGTCCGAGCTCGACGTAGCGCACGATCGCCCCGATCGCCTCCTGCCCTCACGCCTTGACAGCGGCGGGGGCCTCCACGTCCTGCTTGTGGGGGAGCAGCGGCTCCGTCTCCTTCTTGTCTGGCTTGGCGGCCGCGAGCCCGCAGTAGCTCTTGTAGAAGAGGCCGCCGAAGACGAGCAGCAGCCCGATGGCCTGGAGCCCGTTGAGGCTGTGGTGGTACGTGGCGTACGACACCAAGATGGAGATCACCTGCCGCAGGTTCATGGTGGCCGCGAACACAAGGGCGCCGAATTCCTTCACCTGGGAGTAGATGAACCACTGGCCGCCCACGGCCGCGGCGCTCAGCGTGAGGGCGTCGCGCATGATCGCCGGGTGCGCGCCGCAGAAACGGAAGGCCTCGCCAGCCTTCTGCGAGGCCATCAGCGTGATGAAAGAGACGATGCACGAGAAGCTATTGACGTAGAACATTTGGTTGTACTTCGTGGTGTTGTGTTGCTTGAACAGCTTCTCCTGGAAGGTCGAGGTGAAGCCGTCGAGGCCCAGGAAGAGCAGGAGCAGGAGCAGGCCATGCGCACTCGTGCCAGACGAGTGCTTGGCCTTGATGCTTCCGGTCATGAGGAACTCGGTCACGCCGCCAGTGACGGCCGCGGCGACAGCCCAATCCCTCCAGCCGTAGCTCTTCTGCGAGATGATGATGCCCCAGATCATCACGGGCATCATCTTGAAACTCTTGCCCAGCATCTGCACGGGGAAAGACACGTACTTGAGAGCCTCATACTGGCACCATGTCGCACCGACGTTGGACAGAGAGATCGCGCAGTACTTCCAAAGCGGCGCCATGTTCTTCACCGCCTCCCCCTTGCCGAACATCATTCCCGAAGCGAAGCAGACGGCCACGAGACGGTTGCACAGCACAAGGAACACGGAGACCTTGAAGATATCACCAGCCTCGCCGTAGGGCTCCGACATGATGCGCTCCTGAAGGAGCCCGTACACGAGCAGGCATCCGATGATGCCAGCGGCGTAGATCGACCCCCAGAGCGCGGAGACCCACATGCTCGCCGACTGCTCTGTCATCGCGGTTCGGTAAAATTAATAGGACGCACACCAGAGACAAGATTCTGCACGAATGAAGCGATGATGATAATATTGCTGATGATGATGACGATGATGATGAACGGGGATGATGATAATGATGATGATGATGAGGAGGATGGTGATGATGATGGTGGTGGTGGTGATGATGGTGATGATGGTAATGATGATGATGATGATGATGATGATGATGATGATGGTGATGGTGATGGTGATGGTGATGGTGATGATGGTGATGATGATGGTGGTGATGCTTTAGGTGATGGTAAAGATGATGATGCTGCTGATGATGGTGATGCTTTCGATGATGATTATGATGATGGTAACGATGATGATGGTGATGATGATGGTGGTGATGATGATGGTAATGGTGATGATGGTGATGATGATAGCGATGCGATGAAATGATACTGGTGATGATGATGATGATGATGATGATGATGATGATAGCGATGGTGCTGATGATGAAAATGATGAGGAAAACTATGATGATGGTAACGATGATGGTGGTGATGATGATGGTTGTGGTTATGATTATGATAATGAAGGGGGATAATGATGGTGATGATGATGATGCTGATAATGATGATTCCGATGATGGTGATGACGATGATGATGATAAAAAACAATAGCGATGCTGATGATGGCAATGAAGGGGGATGATACTGATGTTGTTGCTGACGACGATTATGATGATGGTGATGATGACCATGATGATGACACTGGTGATGACGATGATGATTATAATGATAATGGTGATGGTGGTGATGATGATTCTCCCGCTCGCGCGCTAGCGAGCTGTCTCCGAGCGCGGCCGCGGCGTGCGCGCGCGGGGCGGCCCAAAAGTGGGCAGGCCCGTCCCGCGCGCTCAAGCCGGGGCGCCGCGCGTCAGACGGTGGAGTCCGTCTGGTCGCCGATGTCGGCGAGGCAGCGCCCGCCAGCCTTAGAGTGGGAGAGGAGGGAGGGGGGCAGAGAAGCTGCGGAGACAGCAGGAGCTTGCTCACAGAGAATAGAAGAAGCATTCTCCCTCTCGCGCGCTAGCGAGCTGTCTCCGAGCGCGGCCGCGGCGTGCGCGCGCGGGGCGGCCCAAAAGTGGGCAGGCCCGTCCCGCGCGCTCAAGCCGGGGCGCCGCGCGTCAGACGGTGGAGTCCGTCTGGTCGCCGATGTCGGCGAGGCAGCCATACCCGTGCTCAAGGACCTTGCGAAGTGACAAGGTTTTGGCGGGCGGCCGCAAGCAGGGCAGGCCAAGCGGCGGGGCCGACTTGGAGGAACGAAGCGACAAGGCGGTCGCTGGCGGTGGCGAAGAACAAGATACGAGCCCGTGCGTGCTCGGGCAGCGCAGCAAGAACTGTGGAGGCGGCGGCGGCTTGCAGGTAGCGCTCGGCACTGGAAGCTTGACGCCAGCGCCCTCGCCAGAAGACGCGGGGGACGTCTTCCGTAGCGATATAGAAGTCTGTTGCGCCAGAGCCCCGCAGACAAGCGGGCGTCAGGTTGAGCCCCTGACCTGCTTTGGCAAGAGGGACGCCCAGAGCCAAAAGCAGATGATTCCACCGAGTACGGAAGCCGCTCGCGCCGAAGGGGGCGAGAGGATCGGTGGAAGCCAACCTCCCAAACACATGATTCAATATCCTCACCGTGCCCCGATCGGAGCAGCGAGCATGTT